AAGAGCTGCAAGAGCTTCATCTAAAACAACAACAGACCACAGCTCAGAAACTTGCTTCAGAGGATGAGGGAAAGAGAGTGAAGGAGGTGCCTTCTTCAGAGATTAAGGAGATTTGTGCAATGTGATTAGGGTGCAAGCTTTTGTGAGGAAATATCACCCTGACCCAAGCTGAAACAAGCTACATCTGCCAACAGTTCAGTGACAGAAACTTTGTCCACTTCAGGGAACTCTTAAAATGGTCAGAAACAGGAGCTCTCTGGACAGATATTTTTGTGGAACAGGGGTCCAGTGACTTCTCAAGTAATTGGTTCTAGTTGGGCATAAAAGACAAAGAAGGGATGTAACCCCAGATAGACTTTGATTCCTGAAGACTTATGTGGGGGGATTCCCCTTCCAAGCAATAAAACTCTCCTCCCTCTCTCGCCTCCTCTCTATCCTTCCTAAACCAACACAGTACTTCAATAAAGATATGTAATATGATTTAATTGTTCTTGTATTTTATTTTATTTGGTTTCTTGTTTTGTTGAATGTTAAAACTATAAGTATCTCTAAAAAATGTATTTTTTTTGTGAATATTTTTGGGTGTCTGGAATGGATTAATTGTATTTTCATTAATTCTTGTGGGAATAATTATTTCGGTTATTGGCCTTTCGGTTTAGGCGGGCCTTCTGGAAAGATTACGGCCGCATAACCGAGGGTCCGCTGTAATTAAAAAAAAATTATAAAACATTTTCCATAGTGAAAACTGGAAATGGTATCCATAGCAATTTAACCAGGATATTTTTTTTTTTTTTGATCATAGAGAATAGTGATTTGAAAATTTCTTGACTTAATTCGTTCTATACAGCCTTCTCTTTCTTGTATGCCAATGAACCATCATTTTTTTCATCAAAGCTGAGGTTTTGCCAAAGATGCAATACTTTCTTGCAGGATTCTGAAATAAAACAATAAGTTTCCAGCAGTAAGAACCATCACTATGCTACCATAGGTCCCCCTCTATCCCTTGCTCATTACAGTTAAAAGGTTCAAACAGTGGCCCAAAGCCATATTTTCCACTCTTTAACCCTTTCAGGGTCCGTGCCATAGTTCTATGGCTTTGAGTTGTGGGTCCAAACCCACTATGCCAAAATTCTAGCGGCCTCAATTTTAGAGCGAGAAGACTGGTACGGCCTATATAAGAGAATGGGTTGGCTGCTGTGTGTGCGCTTGTAAACTAAATTTAGGCGCCCCGCATGGCATTGTGGGAGGCCCTCCAGT